AAAAATCTAACGAGAAGTATCACAAATTAAGTACCTAGAAATTCTAAATAGAAATGATAATAGCCTTGCGTCTGATTTATCTTTTTTATGGAAGAGGAGGTAAACGAACATACGGCTTACCTGATGGTAAGTGATCACCGTCGCCCACGAACATCTGCAACACCTGGGGAATTGCAGATGCATTGACGGCTTTTTAGAAAGGAGTAGGCTCTTCTCTTGAAAATCCTTAAGTCGTATGGGTCTGGAAAAGCCGCTGGCGACTTAAAATTCCACAATGTGATCGTGCCAGCATAATCGTTGAGAACTGGAGACCCTTTTTACTAAAAATTAGGTATATTCTATTTTACTCATCATGGGTGACAACGCTCTGCATTTTGATTCTTAACTAAGGATAGATATAGATATAGATGTCTTTGGGCATTCACTTACGAACGGGTGGATTTTATGCTCGTTTGTCACTCTTATTTTTTACTTATAACTTTACGACATTTTATATAAAAAAGTATTATATCGTAAGGTTGGCATTACTACGTGGCTGTTTTAGTCCTATAAGGTCAATTAGGGTAAGAGGAACACCGGTGAAAGAGGAACTTAACACCGTAACTCATAAACTATAGAGTTTAGCTGTATGGTATATTAGTAGATAAATAAGTGTAGTAAAAAAAAAACAAACGGCTTGTAAAAGATGTCGCTACGATGTTCCAAAGTCGAAAAAAAAGAAAAACAATTTGACAGTTATAAAGTCTAAGAACACGAGTTGGCGACATAAATTTTATTCGCGCTAAAATTGTGAAAATTTTACTGTTAGAGATCATTTCAATGAAAAAATTGTAAGACAAAAGGGTAAGCTTTACTTTTTGTTTCATATTTTAGATTAAACCCTACAAATAATATAAGTTTCATCGAATTTAAAATCGTTACCTCCAAAAAGATTGTTAGGGTAAGAGAAACGGTACTTACAGGGTAAGAGAAACAGTATGTTCCTCTTCGCCGATATCAGGGGTGATAAACATTATGATGTTTTAATAGTTTCAAATAACAAAGACAAAATGTAATTTTAGTAAACAAATTTGAATCGGTAATAAACAAAAATAATAAAATGTCAATTATAAATTCTAAAAAGGGTAAAGGCACTGGAAAAAAGTCAAGTAAGATTGAAGGAAAATATGAAGAATGTGAAATTTCCTGCAAAGAAAAAATACAGAAAAAGATCTTCATCTACCAGCGTATCTGATTGCGTCAGCTTGCATGATGATTATGATATTGTAGACTTGATTGATGAGGACTCAGACTTACTTGAGGAAGATTTTGACATTATTAGAGATTTAGATTACATAAACTTTATTCCAGACCTTGAAAATAATAACATTACAGATGAAAAAAATCGAAGCAACAGAGACTCTTAGTGAATCAGAAATAAGGACAATAGAGGCCGAGTCAGTTATCTTACAAATAAATAAAATTGAAGTGTCTATTTGTAATGTCACAATTGCAGCGTTTTACTAAATTATGCAAAGTATAAACGGTACTTATAACAAAAATACACTTTTTTAAATTTTTGTCTGTCTGTCTGTTTGTTCCGGCTAATCTCCGAAACAGCTGGATCGATTTTGGCGGGACTTTCACTGGCGTATAGCAGATGTTACAAGGAGTAACTTAGACTACTTTTATTATTAGAATAATAATTAGGGTTCCTTGCAAAAAAATTAACCCTAAATTGCACGCGGGTGATGTCGCGGGGAACAGCTAGTTAGTAATATAACAGATGGAAGAAAAAAGGCGACAAATGTATTTTTAAATAAAACTAATTTTACGGATTTTATCGCGTATATGTTACGTCGAAGTTCAGCGCCAAAACCGAATCTACCTAAAGACGAATTCAAAGCGTTGACTAACCTACGCAATAAACCAGAACTCACGATTCTCCGCGCAGATAAGGGAAATGCCACGGTAGTTATGGATACGTCAGATTATAATTCTAAAATACAAGAACTTTTGTCGGATGCAAGTACGTATAAAAAGGTTAAAAATGACCCAACAAATAACACACTTAAAACAACTAGTGATCTCATAAAGAAACACTCCGAAAAATTAAATCTAGACGTAAAATCGATAATACCTACGTGTGCTAAACCACCGAAGTTATATGGGTTACCAAAAATACACAAGCCCAATGCTCCACTACGTCCTATAGTGAGCCAAATCGATTCACCAACTTACAGATTGGCTCAACACTTAGCGAATATACTCTCACCGCTCAAGGGACATACAAGAACACTCACAAAGGATTCCTACCATTTTGTCAGCGAGATTAAAGACCTACATCTGGCAGACAATGAAACTATGGTGAGTTTTGATGTGCAGTCTCTGTTCACATGCCTACCTGTTGAAGACTGCATCTCGATTGTTACTAGAAGGCTAGAGGAAAACAACATGCCCGTAGAATATGCAGTATTACTCAGACACTGCCTTACATCTGGCTACCTATTATGGAAGGAAGAGTTCTACAAGCAAGTAGATGGTGTGGCGATGGGCTCACCTGTATCTCCCATTGTTGCCGATATATTCATGGAGGACTTTGAGAAGAAAGCCCTGCTTACTTCTCCCATAAAGCCAAGATTCTACAAGCGGTACGTAGACGACACTTTCACAATTCTACCTTTAGATAAAGTAACTGCATTTTTAGACCATCTTAACTCCTTAAATTCTAAAATTCAGTTCACAATGGAGTTAGAGGCAAACAATTCTTTAGCTTTTCTAGATGTGTTAGTAATTCGGAATCCTGATAACACCTTGAGCCACACTGTGTATAGAAAAAAGACCCATACAGATAGATAGTTAAACGGTAATTCTCACCACCATCCTTCACAGTTAGCTACCGTGGGTAAATCTTTGTTTCAGAGAGCACGAGGGATCTGTGACAGTAAACACCTGGCCGCCGAGCTCCAACACGTCAAGCAAGTTTTGCACGACAATAAGCTTCGGGTCCCGCGCCTACGTCACAGTGAACGAGTGAAGCCGGCCACAGTCGAGCGAGTGCCTGCTGTACTGCCATATGTCAGAGGTGTCACTGACAAGATTGGCTACATCTTGAAGCGTGCTTCCATTAAAACATATTTCAAGCCGCCGAAGAAGATTAGTCAGTTTTTACCATCAGTCAAGTGTAATATTCCTCTGCAAGATGCAGGAGTGTACAAGCTGGATTGTGAATGTGGTCTCTCTTATATAGGACAAACTAAAAGATCCATAAAAACCCGCGTTAAAGAACACATAGCTGATGTGAAGAATAGACGCTCCGGGAAGTCTGCAGTCTGTGAACACGTACAGGATCGCCCCCGTCACTACATTAGATTTGATAGACCACAAATCCTCGCTAAAGAACACCGATTACTTCCAAGGATGATTCGCGAGGCTATTGAAATCAAAAAACATCCTAATTTCAATAGAGAAGATGGCTGGGTGCTACCATCTGCTTGGGATCCCATAATTAATAAAATTAAATCCCAACCCAAGCATACAACTGCAAGACTTCATGATACTGTAAGTTCATACTGCGTAGATCGGAACAAAAATTAATAATTTTTAATCTGGAGGTAGCCGTGGTTAACTATGACATTGGGACGTCATACACCTCAGTCCCCCTCGTGACCATGGGTGCTGTAAAGTGCTTGAAACGTCGGGAAAGTAAAATAAGTTAATATACGCGATAAAATCCGTAAAATTAGTTTTATTTAAATGTGTAGTGTTCGCGTAAATATAAGAAATCATTATGCGACAAATGTAGTTAGTGAATCAGAAGGAAGGAAAATGGTGGCAGAAGAGGTTGATAACAACTGGGATGAAAAAATAGAGAAGGAAGGACGTAAAGAAATAAATTGTACAATTAGCAACAATGCGATGGTCAGGTACTACACGAGAAACAAATGGACATATTATATTGGCTATATAACTAATATAATATCTCCACAATCTAGTTGCAGTGTCGTAATTTATGAAATAAGGTTCTACAAAACTTACAAAACGCCATTGAAATTTAAACTTTTTATTGAAGTTTATTGAATTGTACGAGGCCGATTAGGAGTAAGAATAAAATTATAATTTGAAATACAAACGATTATTTTTTTTAGTTTGTCACCCCTGACCTGAACCTTTGTTTATAAATATGTTTCTCTGACCTTAAATTTATTATTTTCTTTTTCTTCAAAACTGTACCTTGTAACAATTACGTTACGATCAAATTCTATTAAATAAATTTTATTTAAAATGTAGCAACACGTACATTTAAATAAACATTACAATCTTAGGAGATACGATAAATGTTCCTCTTACCCCAGATGAGGGGGAAGAGGAACGTTAGTACAAGTTGAATGTTTTGGCCGATACCGTCGTAAGTTTTCAAATTAGCGTTATGATTCTTAAAACATGAAAAGCTGATAAACTAAGGCAAGTTTAATGTATCTCAAAATTCTCGTAAAACATTATATGTTCTTCCTAGAGCTCAAAACCTCGGGCTCAAAATAAACTATGTTCCTCTTACCCTAACTGACCTTACGTTATCTTTATAAAAAATAACTTGAATAGCTAAATAAATATTTTCAACGCTAATGTTGTCGTTAACGGTACAGTAAGTAGTATTTTATCGCGATTTGATCGTGATATTATACAGGTATACAGATCAATGAGATATCGTCATGTTGGGGTAGACGCCATGTTGCCGACGCGCATGCGCGCCATTTGCGAATTATTTTTTACATTTTTATAAGTATTTATTTTTTATTTTAAACCAAAACTGCCAGATGCTGGCCGTTTCGTAATTAATATATTATTATAGTATTTGTACGTGTAGAAAATTGTAAAACAATAATACTTCATACTTTTTATATAGTTCGTATAGAATCTTATCAACATATTTTGCACAATATTGCCAGTTTCAAATTCGTGTTTTAAGAAAGGAAAAATCATATATGAAATTATAACGAATATTTTCTATTGTCCCCCAGGACATGGATCTCATCGAGGTGCTTTGGAAGCAGGATGTGGATATGGGCTTCTCTCTGGAGGACCCCGTACAGCTGGTGAGTAAAGCCGTATCTTTAAAACACTAGCCTTAGAAAAGAATTTCCCATATAGTGGAGGCGTGGGAGAAATACCATCGTCCTTTTCGTAGCTCTCTTTAGACTACGGGAAAAGCTAGAAAGACCGCATGTTTATGACAGACCATGGTATGCCATTTTGTTTTCGTCAGTTGCGGAATACTCTTACCAGCGACGAGAGGCTGTTAAGTTGCGAGACACCTGGTAGATCGCCCATCTCCTGCCGAGTATGGCGATTACGGCAAATATATCCTACAACAGGAGTGACTTTTGTCCAACGGACTAGTACGAGCTGGTAAAGAAAGAGTAAAAGAGATTTTATACGTGGTAGAGCCATTTTTTATAGGATAAGGGTGACAAACGAGCACACAGTCCACCTGATGGTAAGTGGTTGCTGTGGCCCATAGGCATCTACATCTATCCTCTGTTACAAATCAAAATGTAGATGCGTTGTCACCCGTGAGGACTAAGATGGAATGCCTCATTTCCAGTAAAAAGGTCCTCCGGCCACCTGCACTCACCAAGCGAAACGCAGAGGTAAACCTCTACTTCACGCTGGTTTTCTGTGAGGTCGTGGTACTACTCCGGTTCGAGCCGGCCCATCCGTGCGACAGCAAAAGCTGCCGCGTGGCTCTACCACTGTTATATGCCATGCTGCAACTATATTAGTAGTATAGTTGTAGCACGAATGTGTCGTCTCGACCGGAATAGGACCACGCTCTCACAGACTCCAGGGTAAAATAGCAGCTTAACACTGCTGTGTTGCGTATGGTGAGTGTAGAGAACCGGAGACCCTTTTAACTGGAAAAGAGGCATTACATCTTAGTCCTCATGGGTGACAACGCATCTGCATTTTGATTCGCAAGCCGAGGATAGATGTAGATGTCTATGAGCCACAGCAACCACTTACCATCAGGTGGACTGTGTGCTCGTTTGTCACCATATCCTATAAAAAAAGAAAAAAAGAATAAGGATCTTTGTTTTATACAATTGAATAAACGTACGAACTTTCAGACCACCCGATGGTAGGTGGGAGTTTTGGCGGGAACTTGACCGGCGACGGATTGCTGCTCCTGTATTTATTGTTTAAATAATGGTTTGAAGTGGATTTTGATATGTAAAAATGGGGCGATTTTGTGTATTAAGTGTCTGCGCATGTGAAATATTAATGGAAACGGTGAAACAAGTGCTCTGATGGTGATGTGATTCTCAAGATATGGTGTCTGTCTGCTTAGGCGCCTTGAGATACCATCGCCAACTTTCAGCTGTCTACTGACTCAAGTTGCCGTCGAAATCTAGCAAGGGCTGCACAATGTGACGCATCAACATATTGTGAAGCACTATATTATGAAGGATAATAATTATACATTGTAACTTAAGGCTCAGAAGGGCTAGAACCCAGAGCCGTAAAGCCAGTTATTAAAAAAAACGAACTTACAGTCAACCCGATGGTAGGTGGATACTGCTGTCCATGGACACCTTCTTTGCTTGCAGTCAACTTCAAGCAAAGAAGGCTACAGATACTTGCTCTCTTCACCATTCGGACTGGAACACAGCGGTATAAGCACCGTTATTTGACTGCAGAAATAGGTCATATCTACTCATATGGACTCCTGGCTTTTGGGCCAAAATATAGTCCTACCGTCTTGTATCATCATGGTGGTCATCAGCAGTCTACGGCATTGTCTTTTGTTTTCCAGGGAATTTCTTTATTGTAATTCTTATTCAACTGAGAACTAACTACCTCTTTCCGACGCTTATGGATGATAAACGAGCAAACCGTCCACCTGGTGGTAAGTGCATGCTTTGGTCCATAGACGGGCGCAGTGCCTTAGCAATAAGTTGCGGCACGAAAAAAAAATTGTATAAACTACAAATAATTGTTCCGGGTTTTGACGTTTGTCCTTGAGAAATTCATGTATGAAAACCACGATCCAGGAGAAAATTCTAGTGTGAGGGTGACGTTTTTAAAAAAAATTGGCAGCTACATCCGTGCTTGATTATGAATCAAAATCCAGATGCTTTGTCACTACTGAAGATTAAGATGGAGTTCCTCGTTACCAGTAAAAAGGGTCTCCGGTTTGCGTCATTAACATACAAAAAAAAAGACATTAACTATTTTACGCTGGTATTATGTCCGATCGTGGTCCTATCCTGGTTGAGCCGTGCTATACGTGCTGCAGGCTAAAAATTGTTGCAACTGGCTCTACAACTTCTAAAAATAACAAGCAGTAAAAATAAAAAAAAGTTCAACCGACTTCATATAAACTATTAACGATAACTCAAAAACTACTGGTCAGACCTTGATCAAATTTATATTGGGACCACACGGGTATGTTTCGAAAGCTATCGAATAAAAAACACAGAAAAAAACAGTCGAATTGAGTACCATCTCTTTTTGAAGTCGGTTAAAAATCTAAATTTACGTTATTTAATTAATATTTATCGACCTTACTAGGAGGGTCCTCAAGCAACAAAAGTGGAACTTGGCGATGAAATCGCAAAGGAGTTGAAACTAGCCGAGGAGAAGATCCAGAAGAAGAAGGAGGAAACGAAGGAGATCGAGAAGGTGAAAGCTTCGCTTCTAGACCTAGAATCTAAGGAGGTGAGTTAGTCCTTTAAGTATCCTTGCTGTTAACTTGATGCAACCAGCATGTTCTATAGATATCGCTCATGGCGCCTCACTTACAATCTCGTTCCATTTATCTACATGGTATATCCCATTAATTTTATTAACGGTAGAAATTGTAGGACTTTAAAATTATAGGCGCATATATTTGATGAACTTCAGAAAACCAATGTAATCTCGAAAATATACAATGTTTCATCATCATCATTACGGCCCGTCACAAGTCCACTGCTGAACATAGTCCTCGCCAAGGAATGCCACAAAGAACAATCTTGAGCCACCTACATCCATCGATTCCCTGCATCATGTGGTCCTTCTCTACTAGCCGTATGAGGCAGCTATCGCTCAGCGAGCTATGAAGAAGGTTGAAGTTTCTCTGCATGATAGACTAATAAATGAGGGTATTCGCAGTAGAAGCAGAATAAACGACGTAGTGCACCGGATCAGTAAGCAAGTGCAATGGGCCCGCCATATAGCTTGAGGAACCGGCAACAGATCGGGGAGAAAAGTTCTCGAGAGGCGGCCTCGTACTGGAAAGTGAAGTGTAGCGTGGCTCCCCACTAGATGAAGTAACGACCTGGTGAGAGATAATAATGATTTTTATATAAAAACGGGTTATATTGCACAAAGCTCCTATTTTTACCACGTGTTCGGTAATGAAGGAAACATCATGAGTAAAACCTGCATGTATGAGAAAAAGAAATTATTCAAAGATAGGTAAAGTTAGTAAAGCCAGCTAGACGGACTACTTGCTACAAAACCCTCACAGAAACGGGAGGAGTCCGAAGAGGAGCAGTGGGGCTTATATAGGCTGTTACTTTATTTTTTCTTATTTTTGAAGATTGCTCCAGTGGAAGTTATTTGAAAGTTCAAATATCAGCATATCTCTACGTTTTTAAGCCCAGTTAAACTTTTTTTAAAGATCGTTTTTGACAGTGTGTGTGTGTATACGTTTGTTAGTGAACTTATTCGTCTCATCTCGAGAAATGGCAATATCGACCCACTAAATTGGACACTTTTCTCATGTTAATTTACCTGATAATTCACCTGATGGTAAGTGCACACTGTGACCCATAGACATCTATATTTTCCTCGATTAAGAATCAAAATGCAGATCCCTTGTCACTCCCGAGGAATTAGATGGAATGCCTCGTTTCTAGTATTAAGGGTTTCAAGTTCTCTACCCTCACCACATGGAAACAGCAGCATTAAGCTGCTATTCTACGCTGATATTCTGTGCTGCATTCGTGTTCATTCGTGCTGCAACTATAATACAGCAGTGTGGCTCCACGCCGAATACAGAAAGCATTAAGGCATACTGAAAGTACAGTGTCTTGAAGGCTCGTACCGGTATGTTCGGATTTAGATTTAATTTTATTAATTATAAATATCTATTATTATTATTATATAATAACAGATTGTACCACCAAGCCATCTTCTCTTCTGAATTAAAGATGTTTCTTTAATTCCAAATGTTCTCTGAGTTTACGATCGTTGTAGAAATGTTTAGAAAGAAGAAAGAAAGAACTTGATTCACACATTTAAAACATAGCAATATAAAAGAAGTATAACTTCGCCTCCAGGTCCTTCAAAAGAGTTATTGCCAAGGCAAAGTCAGAGCACATAGGCAGAATTGGCGAGAAACTAGTTCGCCTTCCTTCGGGAACCCGTGCATTCTGGTCTCTCGCCAAGGCTGTCCAAGGGAATTTCTGTAAGCCATCACTACCATCTCTGCACAGGGAGGATGACTCACTGGCCCATGACGCAAAAGACAAAGCCGACCTTTTAGGCTCCCTTTTTGCGTCCAACTCGACTCTTGATGACGGGGGGAAAACACCGCCGACCATCCCGCGGTGTGAGTGCTCCATGCCGGATGTGCTGTTCTCACAGCGCTCGGTTCGCAAAGCACTGCTCTCCCTGGACATCCAGAAGTCGAGTGGGCCTGACGGAATCCCCCCAATTGTGCTGAGGACGTGTGCTCCGGAGTTGGCACCGGTCCTAACGCGTCTTTTCCGGTACTCCTACTCCCAAGGCGTAGTCCCGAATTCATGGAAGACAGCTTTTGTCCACCCGATCCCTAAAAAAGGCGACCGCTCAGACCCATCCAACTATAGGCCTATCGCGATCACCTCCTTGTTCTCCAAAATAATGGAATCCATTATTAACTGCCAGCTCATCCGGTACCTTGAGGATCACCAGCTGATTAGTGACCGCCAATACGGTTTTCGTCGGGGTCGATCAGCTGGTGATCTTCTGGTCTACCTGACCCATAGATGGGCGGAGGCAGTAGAGTCCAAGGGGGAGGCGTTGGCCGTTAGTCTGGACATTGCGAAGGCCTTCGATCGGGTTTGGCACAAAGCGCTTCTTTCGAAGCTCCCTTCCTATGGGCTTCCCGAGAAATTGTGCAATTGGATCACCAGCTTCCTTGTAGATCGGAGCATCAAGGTCGTTGTAGACGGTGCATGCTCTAACTACAAGCCTATTAACGCTGGTGTTCCACAAGGCTGTGTGCTATCACCAACGCTGTTTCTTCTGCATATCAATGATATGTTGCTAACTGGTAACATTCATTGCAATGCGGATGACAGCACTGGTGATGCTCTATACACCGGCCGTGCCAATATTTCTCGGGAAAACGTCGCTGAGTACCGGAACAAACTTGTGTCTGAAGTCGAGTCTTTGCTGAACAAAGTCTCGGATTGGGGGCGACTAAATCTAGTCCAATTTAATCCTCAGAAGACACAAGTTTGCGCGTTTACCGCTAAAAAGAACCCCTTTGTCGTATCTCCTCAGTTTCAAGGCACTCCCCTTCTTGCCTCAGCCAGTATCGGTATCCTCGGAGTCGACATATCGAGTGACGTGCAGTTTCGTGGTCACTTGGAAGGGAAGGCCAAATTGGCCTCTAAAAAGCTTGGCGTGCTCAGCAGAGCGGGACAGTATTTCATGCCGGCACACCGCCTGCTACTTTACAAGGCGCAAGTTCGGCCTCACATGGAATACTGTTCCCATCTCTGGGCAGGGGCTCCCCAGTGCCAGCTCCTTCCACTTGACCGCATCCAACGCAGAGCGGCTCGAATTGTCGACGACCGAGCCCTTTCCGATCGGCTCGATTCATTGGCACTGCGAAGAGATGTTGCATCCCTTTGCATTTTCTTTCGCATCTACCATGGGGAGTGCTCTGAGGAATTGTTCGGATTAATCCCAGCCGCCAAATTTCACGAACGCACATCGCGGCAGAACTCCCGATACCATCCACACCATCTGGATGATTGGCGGTCCACCACTGTGCGATTTAGAAGATGTTTTCTTCCTCGCACGACCTCCTTGTGGAATCGATTACCATCAGCGATTTTTCCGGACCGATACGACTTAGGGACCTTCAAGAAAAGAGCGTACTCCTTTTTAAAAGGCCGGCAACGCATCTGCGATTCCTCTGGTGTTGCAGTTGTTCATGGGCGGCGGTAGTCACTTACCATCAGGTGAGCCGCATGCTCGTTTGCCCCCTCTCCTATAAAAAAAATAAATACAAAAGCAAAGGAGCAAATGTTTGCACGCATTACGCATATTAAAAAATAAGAAGCAGTAATTAATGCGTAATTAACTTATAATAAAACAAAAAAAATTAAATGTGATATCGAATAGGTTTCCAAACTCAGCATAATGCTGCAGAAGCAGCGCTGGTTTTCCGTTGGAGCCTGGTGACTTCTTTACGAGACGATGGCAGAACATCCGACGGTATAGTTTTATTCACTCGGGAGAGGAGCAAGCTCTATTGTGATACTACATACGTGGACACTTTTCCTTCCTCTAATCTCAGAAGTACCGGGTAAAGCCGAGGCAGTATGAGAGGCAGCTGCACTAAGTGCCGCAAACATGAGCTTCTGAGAGACGATTGTATTTTTGTACCATTTGCTGTAGAGGCTGTCGGTTCACGGGATGACGCGCTGTAGATACAGTTTAAAAAGGAACTGTTTCCCCGACTTGTCGTCGCTGCTGGTGACAAGAGGACTTGTTCTTTTCTTGTCCAACAGCTAAACCCATTCGGTGAGGAAACACAGCCTCGGTTCTTGGCACTATACCGCGGAGAATAGGACTGTTTGATAGTCTTCCTTTTCTTTATTGTACCTATTTAGTATTGTATATTTTTATGTTATGTATATAAATAAAGTAACAATTTCCATATCATCACGAATGATCCTTGATAGGAATCGGTATTTTTTGTTGCGAGGATTTGTGACTAATGTGCAGTATTCGCGTAAATATAAGAAATCAATAAAGTTAATGTATTCGATCAGGTTTCTCCTTTTCGCAGGAAGACCCGTGGGCCGGCCTCTCCTATACTGTCGACACTGAAACAGGTACGTGAATTTTCTTCCAGTGCTGTTTATATATTTTTTATTTGTTAGGATTATTGGCTACGAGGATTTTAGCTAAAAAATATTTACGCAAAGTGTTGTAATTCGTATTCATTTTTTTAACAAAGTTTACAATATGTTGATGCGTTATATTGCTAAGTTTGTGTCTGTTTTTTTTTAATAATTAATGTTAATTCGAAATGAGTGCAGTGGCAGTGAAGAATATCCCCTATCCCATTTCATGCCGTGGGTGTCGTGAGAAACAACAGTTGGTCTGCCCTTTCTGACGAACCTTCCTATAAAAAATCCTTAAATTCGCAATAAAAAGTATTGAAGGAGACTTTTCGGGATAAAAAGTATCCTATCTTTAGTTGGACCAAACTGCACACAGTGTGCGAAATTTCATTGAAATCAGTTCTGTAGTTTAGGAGTTCATCGCGGACAAACAATGTGACACGTAATTTTTATATATTAAGATAATATAGATACATACAAAAAACATACAGTCGAAATGTTGCTTACATTCTCCACTCATCTTCCTCCATTTATATTCATCTCCATTTTTGAAGTCAGCTAATTTACACATACGTGACAAACGAACTTACACTCCATCTGATAGCAAATTTCTACTGAGGTCCAATAGATATCTGAAAACGACTTCAATCGGATGCATTGTTACCTCTGAGGACTAAGATGTAATGCCTCCCAGCCTGTATACACCCTCTATACACTCTCTATATCTAAAGTTCATAAATTATTCAAAGAACCCAGCCGCATTTTACTGCTATTTGACTTTGGCGTTCACACTTTACAGGCTATCAAAAGTTCACTAATGAACATATGCGTCTTGCATAGATTGCATCGTAGGAGGATATATTTTCCATAGCTATATTTTTTTATTCCATAGCTGCAGCTATATTAGTTAGTATAGTTGTAGCAAGAATGGGTCGGCTCGACCGGGGAAGGACCACGCTCTCACAGACTACCAGCGTAAAATGGCAGCTTAACGCTGTTGTGTTTCGTATGGTGAGTGTAGAGAACCGGAGACCCATTTTACTGGAAATGAGGCATTCCATCTTAGGCCTCATGGATGATGACGCATCGGCATTTTGGCTCTTTATTGAGGATAAATGTAGATGTCTATGGGTCAAGCAACCACTTACCATCAGGTGGACTGTGTGCTCGTTTGTCACCCTTATCCTATAAAAAAAATAGCTGCTACGACAAGTTCTTTGTTGTATTAACATAACTACGTATGCATATACATTTCCAATTTCTTTTTTTTCAAATAGCATCAAATATCCCGCATAAAGAGACGCTATTATTCAGTAGTAAAGGGGGGTGTAAGCCACCCTATAACTAGCCCCTATCGGAGACACCCTCCGTTTATATAAGGGGAGCAACCCCTCTATGTAACTTGCTCGATGCCTACCTACTTCCGTTCAAATGCTGTTTATAAGACAATTTTATATATATATATAGCGATTCTTTTATATGTTTACATATACTTTTCAGGATGTGGAAATTTAGAAATCATCGGCAAAATATTTTTTATTATGGCGGAAGATATACGTGGGGAAATATATTGAATACCAGCGTGTGTGTTGAGTTTCGTATGGTGAGTATAAAAAACCGGAGACCACTTTTACTGGAATCGAGGCATTCCTTCTTAGTACTCAGGGGTGACAACGCATCTGCATTTTGATTCTTAATTGAGGATAAATATAGATTTCTATGGAGCATAGTATTCACTTACCATCAGGTGGACCGTGTGCTCCATTGTCATCCTTATTCTAAGAAAAAAAATCATCGAAATCGGTTCCTAATTGACAAAGCTACAAAAAATATACAGTCGAATTCAGAACCTCCTTATGTTTTAAGTCGGCTAAAAAGGGTCTCCGGTTCTTTACACTCACCATACGAAACACAGGAGCATTAAGCTGCTATTCTGTGAGAGCGTGATCCTTCCACGGTCGAGACGATCAATTCGTACTGCAACCATAATATAGCTGCAGTGTGACTCTACCACGTACTTAACTCAGTCATATGCCTATCACACGGATTACGTTAACGTATGAGATTAACGGAGTATTAGGTCTCCGTAAGACGTAACCAATCTGTTGTATCAATGTATTAACATCACAAGCCAAGCTAAAATACTATTTCCTGTCGACCATCTATCGACTGGCAGTTGGCAATATTGCTGACTCATTTGACTAATGGCATCTATAGGACGCTGCGCGGGGGGTGGGTTGCCACGGGGGATGCCTTTGATGGGACAGAAGACCGATTTTTTGGGGATTAACATACGTTACTTATAAATGACAAACATAAATAAATAAAAATTAAACCATGCATATATGTATTTCGTAGAATAGAATACTCGTAGAATGGTATAACTTTTATTGATTATAAATTAAAAGTAATTCTCATTGAAAGTCATTTTTTACCATTACCACTGGTTCGGAAAGAACCTCAGTGTCCTGAAAAGAACCAGCAAGAAACCCAGCGGGACTTTTTTAAGTAAAAATCTTACGATTAAATACAGGTTGTACAAACTACTTACCAAACTTATTTAAGAAACAGCTTGGAAGCAACCACCTTATTCCCAGGGGTTATATATAAAGATATATATATATATATATATATATATATATATATATATATATATATCTTTATATATAAAAATTACGTGTCACATTGTTTGTCCGCGATGAACTCCTAATCTACTAAACTGATTGCAATGAAATTTTGCACACTGTGTGCAGTTTGGTCCAACTTGCAGCTTATATCCCTATATGTGACCCTCAATATATTTTATTACGAATTTCATAATTTTTATAGAACACAAGGTCGTCGGAGAGCGCAGAACATCTGCCTGGCTAGTTAGTATCTATATATATACGATATAACTCTCAAATTGGACCGAACTGCACCGAGTGTGCAACTTTCATTGAAATCAGTTCAGTGACAGGACAAACAATGTAACACATATATATATATTTAAGCTCTTATATATATATATATATATATATATATATATATATATATATATATATTTAAGATCAGTTTTTCTATAATAAGTCTAATAGACCTTAAATTCGCAATAAAAAAATATTGAGTATCAATTATCAAGATAAAAACTATCCTATAACTATATAAGTCGTCGAAAAGGGCAGAACAACGTCTGCCTGGTCAGTTAGTATATATATTTTCTGGGACTTCGCTGTAAAATCGTATTTATCGTGTAGTGGCGGTGTAAGAATATCCACTACCCATTTCATCTCGCGGGTGTCGAAGAGGTGACAGATGGAAACAAATCAGAAGATGGGCAGCAGCGTCTTCGTAGTAACGACTAAAAATAAAAATAATCTGTCATAGCCAATCCACTTGCCAAGCGTGGCAACTATGACAAACTTGCCCACTATGTGGCATTCTATGGGGGAGCTTCTATGGGACCACAACTGAACATAGACATGTTCAGTTGTGGTCTTTAACATGCTGTAACGGAACGGAACGGTTGTAATCAGTTGTAATAGTGTATACATTGCCCCGTAAATGAATTACTGATTCTGTGTAGTCGAGAAACTGGTATCACTATTTTGTGTTATTTATCCATACTGCTAAAAAATTAAGTGAGCTGTAATAGACGATATAGTCCTCTGTTGTTTGACTATTTCATGTTATTGCCTCACTACTGCTCGAGTGTAATTGGTGTTGCTGATGACGGCAAAACGCACTAAATAACCTAAAAAAAGTCTGATCACTCTTGGCTTGTAAACACCCACATTGTAATCGGATGGACAGACATACGCTGGCTCTATTTCTGTGTACGCATTACGAATGACGAAGCAAACCTTTTGGTTTCAATGCTTGGTTTATGTTTGTTTTTTCTGTTTACGTAAATATCAACCTCACCTTTATACGTGGTAGAGCCATGCTGCAGCTACTCGTATGTTAGTAGTGTAGTTGTAGCACGAATGGGTTTGCTCGACCGGGGAAGGATCACGCTCTCACAGAAAACCATCGTGAAATGGCAGCTTGACGCTGCTGTGCCACGTATGGTGAGTGTAGAGAACCGGAGACCCATATTACTGAAAAAAAGACATTCCATCTTAGTCCTCACGGGTGACGACGCATCTGCATTTTGATTCTTTATTGAGGATAAATGTAGATGTCTATGGGTCACTCTAACCACTTACCATCAGGTGGATGGTTTGTTCGTTTGTCACCCTACCCTATAAAAAAAATAGCTGCTACAAAAAGTTCTTTGTTATATTAACATAACTACGTATGCATATACATTTCCAATTTCTTTTTTTTTCAAATAGCATCAAATATCCCGCATAAAGAGACGCTATTATTCAGTAGTAAAGGTAAAAAAAAACAGTAGTAAAAAAAACCTGTTTAAGACACGAGTAGAGTGCTCGTTGACTGCCGATTTTCTGCTACTGATCGTGAAAAATACATCCAAAGATACGAACGGAACTTAATTTTGCAGACTGGTAGAGTTTAGTAGCATTGCTAGCGCGAGGGGTATCAACTTTACGCGTACAACTGCACTATGTCGTAAATCCATATTTTGTAGAAGAGGGCCATAAGAGCAATCTACGGTTTCAAATCTAGTCTCAAAGACAAACATTTTATGGCAATTAATATTTTTTGGAACGAAGTTCCTTTCGCACGGTACGAATTTGACGGATGGGGGCTAGGCGAGAAAAAGTGTAAGATTTTTCCGTCACAGCCTTCTTTCTATAGTGCGAGCGAGATGGAATAATATCCATCTCACTCTCACTTTTCTTATCTTGCCATTAAAGAAATATTATTTTAAATGACGCTTCATTTTAATAGACGCTAGTAATTAATTTATTTGTATTTGTTAATCAATAATATAATATGTTTATCAATAATATTATACTACAAAAGGAACTCGACGACGGACACTCGTTCCAATCGAGTGTTCCACGACACTCACGAATGGTTTTTATTAAAGGATAGGGGTG